TGGAGGAGTCCAGAAGGTTATGAAAGAATCCAGTCATTGGACACTTGGGTTATTTACAGTTTTTAAGTTCAGTTTCACTTTGATTTGACCATGACTAAATCTGGTTCTTTCCTCTTGAAGAAAGAAAGTATTTACTTTATTTTTATTTTAATGGAACCAACAGTTGAAAGACTGAACTTAAAAACTTTGGATTTTAAAAGAGATTGGCTATTTTAAAGGGACTGAAAGTTCAATATTTGAATTTGTCAGGACTGTGGGACTTTTGAAATTATGATTTTAATGTGAGATCTTGGGGACAAACTAAGAAAGGAAGGTTTGTGGCTTAATAGTAATGTGTTTGTGTGTTAGGTTGACAGGAGGTCAGTTACGCTGGCCAGTGTACGTCAACCTGATACAAATTAGAGGTATCTGAAAGGAGGGAACCCCAATTGAGAATATGCCTCCATAAGATCTGGCTGTGAGGCATTTTCTTAATTGGTTATTGATAGGGGATGGCCCAGCACATTGTGAGTAGTACCATCTGGATGCTATAGAAAAGCAGGCTGAGTGACCCAGGGGAAGCAAGCCAGTTATCTGTACCCCTCCATGGCCTCTGCATTAGCTTCTGCCACCAGGTTCCTGTCCTATTTGAGTTCCTGTCCTGACTTCCTTTGGTGATGAACAGTGATGTGGAAGTGTGAGCTAAATAGACCCTTTCCTCCCCAACTTGAGTTTTGGTGATGATGGTTCATTGCAACAACTTCGACAGATTGTGACCACTGAAGTGTGTGAGCTTCTTTCCTCTCCCTTTTGATTTTATACCATAAATTCACAATAACTAGGTATCTGTGCTAAGATTTAATTCTGATATAAAAGCACATATTCCAAATTTTGCTCATTTCTAATTGTTCTGGAAGATAAGAGTGGGCAATTAATTTTGTTGTTACTTGTCCAGACGGTATGGTGGGATTAGTAAAGAAATGACTATAAATAGTTAAGAAGAGGTTCAAGGACTATGGAGGCTAGAGAAAAGACACGACTACAATAAATGTTAAGGATATGGCAGATGAAATTAAGAAACATTATCCTGGAAGGAAAATTGAGCATATTAAGGGATGAGTGATCCACACTCTTAAGTCTTTGTGTGTAGTTAAGAGAACCTCAAATGTCACTTCTGACAAAAATAGTTGTTGAAAATTTATTCTGTCAACCTTTGCTTCCAGGGCTCCTGCATGAAAGCAATGAGAGGATTTTGTAAAGCTGTTGAAAGAGTGTAGCTTCTGAATTATTAGGAGACAAAGTCTCGCAAAAGAAACCCCAATCCTCTAGCTCCCACAGTCCTTTTGCCCCTTCTTCCACAATGTTCCCTAACCCTTAGGTGCAGAAGTTGTCTTATATAAGTATCATCCAATAAAAGCGGGCTCTGTAACTTTAACTAAAAATGAGCTGAACAAGGACAACAAAAATGAACATGACAAAGTAGACTGGGAAACACCCACAATGCCTGAACCCCACACAAGAGCTAAGGAATGATGAGATCTGGTGAAATAATCCTAACCATGAAAGAATGAGTCAATTAGTTGTCCAACATAAATGGCCATCCCTGAAAACATACATATTTGTAACATTATACAGACTGAGAAGGTTATATAATATTTATATGACAACAATTAATGGAAATGTGGTCTTGAATTTGAAAGAGACTGAGGACAGATGTGTTGGAGAATTTGGAGGGAGGAAAAGGAAAAGTGAAATGATGTAATTATAATTTCAAAAAAAAGTGGAAGTAATTTTAAAAAGTTGTCATAAGAAACTTTCAACAACTTCCAGAAATTAACCAAAGGCCCACAGTAATCTGAAGTGTCATTTTAATAAAAAATAAACTGAGTGTTTGCCTCTGGCTTTAGTTAACACTTAACTTGTTTTCCCCCTCACTAAGTTGCATAATTTTTATGTTGGAATTGCATTACAGTGGTTTGGCTTTCTCTGCCTCCTTCAAAAAATAGCAAGCTCCCTGGTAGGGTTACAACATCTGGTTTTTTACTAATGTATAGTAATTATACAAAGTAAGGGATACATTTTGACAGTTCTTCATACACATATAATGTACTTTAATTATATTTACTTCCTTTCTGATTTCCCATCCACATTTCCATCCTCCTATATATATATAGTAGTTCTCCCTTTCATTTTCATGTTATTTTACCCACTAGATTCTACATATGAGAGAATAACCAACAATGACAATAACAGCAAAATCCTTTGTTTACCAGTATAGTGTCAGGCTTTAAGATTTACTTGTAATTTGGGAGCTAGCATTCACTAATATCTGACCTATATAGTCAGTTTAAGTTAAGAAATCTACCAAAAATATTTTCTTTCTTAGGGTTAAAAATATCTTTTACCATTTATCTTTCACTAAAACACTAATACATGGTCAAACTATTTTTTTATATTTTTCTCTAGTGCCTTCTCCATTTAGTACATATGCTTAGAGTTCACCCATTCCTAAACAGAGATGCACCTGTTTGTATCTTCACATTTTTGCTCTTCAGTAGTCCTAATGTTGTCTGTTTTAAGGGAAATTCATTAGAAAACAGCATGAAGTCACATTTCTTAAAGAGAACTTACACACACCACACACACACACACACACACACACACACACACACGTTGTATATACCAGAACATATTTTGGTTAGGGCATGAAAGGATTTGTTAAGAAATGTTCCCTCTTTTCAGTGATAGTAGTTTAAAGAACTACAACTGAAGTACTAGATAAGCAACATATTTTTTTCCAAAGCTGAATCACAAGATACCACCTCATGGCGGTCTATAGAAGTACGTCTCCTGAAGGGTTGCAAATTGGAGTAGTAAATATAGTATATTTGATCCATACAGTGTTTATTGCTTTTATTTTTTTTTTAAGAAGTTGTGTACCAAAGGCTGGGGATGTATCTCAGTGAACAAAGTGCTTGCAGTACAAGCATGAGAACCCGAGTATCCACACAAATATCCAAGCATAGGTATATACAGAAGGAACTCCAGCATTAGTGGGGAGGAGAAAGCATGATGGGAAAAAAGAGCATCTTTGGGGCTTGATGCCTATTAACCCAGCTGCCAAATTCTAAGTTCCTATTTTATGAAATTAAATGATTTGATAATACTAGGCTGGTTACAACCAGCTGGGGCTCTGTGGTGACTAGTTCTTATAGGTGATTGAACCCCAGGACTCTGGAAGGAGAAAAATTGACTCCTGGCCAAAGTGGTATCCTCTGTCCTCTACATCCACACTATGGGATACATAAGCATTTGTGCATGCATGCATGCATACACATGCACACATACACAAATGTAACAAATATTTTTTAAAAAGTATCTACTAATTGTAGGACTAAATGTATGTCAGTGTGAAGTATTGTTATAAATATGTTTAAGAAATGATTGAGACAATTTGTGTAGATAATTTATGTGGAAAAGTTAAATCTCTTATTCAATTTTCTTTTTTAAAAAATGTGTGTGTGCACATGCATGTGTGTGCAAGGCACAGATTGGTACTAGGTGTCTTCAGTCATTCCCCATCTCTCATTTGAGAGAGTCTCCTAGTGAATGTGGATATTACTGATTTGGCTAGAGCTTGAGCTCCAGGTATGCTTTATGCCTCTGTGTCCACCACTATAAGCATGTACCTAGATTTTTATATGGTAGGTGGGGGATATGAACTTGGGCCTTCATACTTATGTGGTAAATGCTTTAACAATTGAGCCAATCTCCAATCCAGTCCCCTCTTCTAAAATTCTTTTAGGCACAAATGGCAATACAGATATAAAACTAGCATAGAATTATACATAGTTGGTCAAGGTACAAATGAGAATTTTTATGTCCATGAGTTCTTTGTGTGTTATTCATTATAAGTAAATCACAACATGGCTTACTTATTTGAAAACAAGTCCTAAATAAAATGTATACAAATCACAATCAATATACACATGTAAGTATTAATGCCAGATTTGCTTATGACTAGTATATTAAGTATCACAAAAAATTCCAGAGAGGTTTCATTATTTTACTAGAAGATTCGCCAGAAATTATTTACTTTGTGATAGACTATTAAACTAGTGCATATTAAAGGTACAGTAGCTGCCTTCATGAGGTGGAGATATTTTCACTTTTTGACAGAAAGCTTAAAACTTGGAGGGAAGGGGCAAACTCTATGGTTATTGGTTTCCCTTTCTGTGCCTAGGTACCCAGTTAGAATAAGATGCTCACTCTATGAAATTCAGTATGGAAATCCCCTAGGAAGGAATCAACTCATTCATTTATGAGATTGACAAAAACTATGTATCTCTGTGCCAGCTCAGATGTTTGAAAATCTGTTAAAAAAAATACTGTATTTGATATTATAATTTCAAATCAATGAGAAAACATTGTTAACTTGGTGTAAAAGAAAATGTGAGATTTCTGGTCTCAATATTAAGTTATGAAAGAAAATTGTAATAATTATTGCTATTTTAATTTGGATTTTATTTTAACTTAAAATGTCATAAGATTGAATTTTTATCCCAATCTCATATCCTCATCTCATTAATTGAAGACATTTTTATTACATTCCTGGCAGATTATTTTTATTACCAGCCTGATTCACTCAGGTATGTCTCCTGCTCTTGTGTCCTTTGAGTTTGACATTTGGGAATGAGGTGATATTTTAGTTATTCTTCCACATCTCCATACATTTCCCCCAAGAAAAGGTGTCAGTAGAGAACATTGTCAGTCACTAAAGGCACAAAATATGTAGTTTCATCTATGTTATACATACTATAATAAGTATTTACTGTGCAGTTATTTGAGGAGTCAATGATTGAATAGAAAGGGGATTTACATGAAAGACAAAGAGGAATTTAGAAAGCTTTGTGGATGGAAGCTGTATTAAATTAAATATTATTAATTCATGTACATGTTTAACATGATAGGAAATCATTTTCTTTTCCCTTAAACTTCTTTTTCAACCAATTCTGCTATAGACGCCTATACCAAAGCTGAAGTGATTTATTCTTGGACTCTTGGGAAGAACAAATCTGTGGAAGTAGCACAGGATGGTTCTCGCCTGAATCAATATGACTTGCTTGGACATGTTGTTGGGACAGAGATAATCCGGTCTAGTACAGGTATTGGCTTATTTATTACACTTCTATATTATCTGTACAATATACCAACATTGTATTTATAACTTATTTAATCTTTAAAACAGTTTTGAAAACTATTACAGAGATGAAATTGTAGGAATTCAATAATTTGTCCCATGTTGTTATTTAGTGTCAGAATCAAACTGTGAACCCAAGCAGTAAGCTCTTAAATTCTTCTGAAGCCTAGTGCCCTGATGCCTCTTAAGGAGTGTGGGAGAAGATAAAGGAAGTGTGATAGAAATCAGAGAGGGCATAGCGATAAGGTCACTCAGCTTAGGTCACAGAGTGTTCAGTAGTTCTGAGGCAGTAAGTTACTAGCCCCACTAGAGGTCCAAGAGTAGTCAGCAAATTAGTTTTTTGATGAGATCACCCATCTCAGAGAAAAAAAAAATTCCCCAAAACTTGTGGGGAAACAAGTACTTTTTGAGAGACATGTTCTATGCTCTGTAGTATGCAATTTGTCCATTTGAATACTATGTGATTCTAGAAGTACAATAAAAATGAGTTCAATAACCAACATAAAGACAGTGGCTTATAACCTTGTAACTCCAGTTGCAGGTGATCTAACACGATCTTCTGGCTTACACAAGCATCCACAAGCTCATGTGCACATTCATACACACACACACACACACACACACACACACACACACACCTGAGAGATGATAGTATGTTGTTCTTTTGCTATAATTATTGCTTAAGAAACACAAACACAAGAAACAGCGCCCATGTGGAGTTTATTGAGGGAAGGGGAGAAAGGGGGTAGCTGGTGGCCCCAAACAAAAGCAGCGGGGAGAGAGAGAGAGAGAGAGAGAGAGAGAGAAGAGAGAGAGAGAAGAGAGAGAGAGAGAGAGAGAGAGAGAGAGAGAGAGAGAGAGAGAGAGAGAGAGAGAGAGAGAAGGCCAGAGAGAAAGAGCAAGAGATTCTGGTCCATCGTCTGGGGTGGGATCAGCAAGCTGCTGATTCCCAACAGTAGGGGTGGGGAGAGTGAGATAGATAAGCAGACAGACACAAACACAGAAATAAAAATAAAAATAGAAAATTTTCCTTAAAAGGTTTAATATGTTAATTATTTGTCTTGTGCATATCACTGTATAGAATTCCCCTTGCACATACCTTTTATTCTTTTTTATATTTTTATATTTTTGTCTACTTTGAACATTATAATTTTTATAAAGTTTTCATTCATTAAATGTACAGGAGCCATATATAATTCAGTACCAATATACTAACAATGGTAATAAAGGCATTAATACTTGCGTTGTTTACTTTAAACAAAACTAAAATAATGAAATTCTCTCTTTCAAGGCTATGAGATTCTTGATAATTATTTGTGGGTTTGTGGAAAATGTAGCAGTTCATTGCTGAAACTCAGCAAAATAATTGTTTCATTTGTAATGGCATTGTGCAGGACTCGTGGCTTACTTTAGCAATTATCTACCATTATGCCCTGTGTTTAATTTTATAAACAATGCTTGTGTAGACCTTCCTTTTCCAGACAGCATTTTGCTACAGTGTAATTATCTGTCTATGATCCAGACAGAACATTTTTGAAAATAATACATGTTGACAAACTGCTGCTTTGAAAGTTTAACCAATTCCCTGTCCCACTCTCCCTGTATGAGCATGCCAATTTTCCTTAGCAATACTGGTATTATGAACTCAATTATCTCCCCACCACCTAAAAATATGTTACTATAGAATGCTACCTTATTTGGGAATAGTGTCATTGTAAATGTGTAAATGTAGTAACTGATGATGAGGTCATGTTGCACTAATGTTATATAATTGGGGAAATTGGAAAGACTATATGAACATAAAGGGTATAATCAGGTGGATGTTTCCATAAGAAATGAACAAGTTGAGATTAGTAAGAAGCAAGGGAAGAGTCCCTTACAGGTTTTAAACAGAGCAAGGCCCTACTGACAACTTCATTTCAAACCTCTGAGTGATAAAATTGTCTTGTTTTAAAATATCCAGTATCTGGAACTTTTTGTGGCAGCCTCAGCAAATTACTGCAACCATAAACTCTTGTTTTATTTCCTTAACATGAATGGTAATGAGATTGATAATGAATAATTGTTGAGCATGTAGTATGTGCCGGGCACAGCACTACGGACATGTAGTAACTCATTTAAACTTTGAACAACACTGAGAAGTAAGCAATATTGATCCTGGTATCTGAATAAAGAAATATGGATCAGAATAATTTGGTACCTTCAGCACTTACATTTTAGTTCCCTTCATGCTTATAATCTGCTTTATACTGTTATAACTTTTTACTTTTTGAGATAGAACATGGATTACTTTGAGCCAAGTATATTAATGCATAGTACACTTTAATCACCTACTACCATTCTGCTCCCCTACCAGATTCAATATTTCTTGATGGCTGTGTATAACTGTCACTATGTTTCATGTGCTATCATTCCGTTTGTTTTAGTTGCTTTGTCTTCTTTCTTTCTAGAAGTTTAAAAGGTATATATAATTACTTTGATGGTAACAGTGCATACTAATGATGGCACATCCTAATCCCAGAATCTTTGAGCCTGTTAGGTTATGAAGGTAAAATTAAGGGTTTTTTATGGTATTTAAGTAAAGATATAGTCCTGGATTATTCAGGTAGGACCACCATAATTACAAAAGATTCTTCATGAAGGTCAGGCAGGCAAGAAAAACCAGTCAGAGAGAATAAATGCAGAGTGACCAAACAGGAAATGCTGGTAGCCTCTTCCCTAGAATCATCAGAAAAAAAATGCAGTTTAGTCAATGGTGTATATGAATATCAAGATATTACATGCTTTCTCATAAATATGCACAGTTTGTATTTTATACATATTGCTCAAATGTATTTAATGAAAGCACAGAGTTTTCAAAATACTATTTGAGATTTCTGACCTCCTGAAGTGTGAGAACATAAATTTATTAAAGGATTGATTAAAAAAACAAATATAGCTCTGTGCTCTAATTAAGATTTTAAAATTTGGCTTGGAGATTGAAACAAAGCAAGAGAGGGGAACTATTAAGTAATGTGTTTTGTTGGGGCTGCATTACTTCTTTACTGGGCAGTATCTGTTTTAATTTAATCATTACTCGGTAGAAAGAGCCTGTAAAGACTTTGGGGGAAAGATGTTCTGGATTGCTTTCTTTGGACAGAAAAAGCAAGTATCTCACTAGCTCACTGTGCCTGCCCTATTCTCCTCTATGTGCTGATTCTTGACCTGTTGTCTGTCTTAGGGATTCATACTCTTTTTGTATCATTTATACACTGTGTTTGCCATATACATAGGTCCATTTTTAAATTCATATAAATTTATGTCCATTTCTAGATTGCTTTTACTCTTTGTTTGTTTTCTGTTTATGAATCAAATAATTTAATAAGAATATATGGATATTTTCCAGCTAGTTTGAGCTGTCATACTGTATATATGTGTAAGTGTATATAATAATTTTATTGCCATGGTTAATGGTAGCAAAGTAAAATAATGAACATTTACATATATATATATATATATATATATATATATATATACTCTTATACCTTTTTATTTGAGAACTATGTAAATATTATTACCTCACATAAATGTGTCAGTAATTACCTTTTAACTGTTGAATATGCCCCTCCATGGAGGTCCCATCATATGACTAGGAACCTGGGCAGAGAAGTTCAATCTACACATGTTCCGTTCCATATGGTTGAATTTTACTACAAATGCTCTCATTCTCCACTCCACTGTGATGTAATTTCATAATTTCTTCTCTTGGTTCAAGATTCAAATATCTGTAAAATAAATGAATGAAATTCTTCAAGCCTGTTGACTAGTTATTGACACCAGTTTCTATTTCAATACTGATTCAATTATCTCCCATTAGGAAAATTATTAGTTATTTAGGAGGATAGTTAGGATTCATGATTGTTCCCAATATCTTTTAGATATTTAATCTTTTTCTACAACATCAGTTTTGTCTAATTCCAACTGTTCTATGCTATCTCTATGTGTAGACAGACCCAAAAACAGGAGACTGAAGGAAAGAGACATAAAGGAAACACAGAGAAATGGAAACTAAAAGATTACAGAACACAATATAAAGAATAAGGAATAGATGATGTGTAGAGGTGAAAAAATACCAGACATGGATTTAAGGCAGGAAAACTGCTTTGATTGTATATTGAGTTAATTTGTGAAGATATGTTTAAAGTCCTCTGTATATTTTAAAACTCTCAATAACTAAGTTGTTTATAAAATAGCTTCAAATATTTTACATGTAGCTCAGTTGGAGTTAAGAGGCTGGAATGAAAAGGCAGGGTGAAATTCTCCAAAGCACTTACATAGCATCTTCATAAAAAACAAAGAAAGGCAGCAATAGAGGTAAAATGAAGGGAATATACCAATCCAACTCAACATTGGTTAGGTAAGCTTTTCCATATTTCTGCCTTAAATAATAGATAATAATTAATTTATAAACACATTATCATATTTACTATTTCACATAGAACACAGATAGTAATTTACAAGCTTAACAAGCTGGAGCTCACCGGTGAAAACAGAATTAAAGGAAATGGAAAAATCTCCCAATTGCCTGAGTTCTCACTTTGAAAGAAAAAATATGGAGATATTATAGAAAATGATGGGGAGTATTGGAAAAGAACTTGTCAGTGAATTTGTACAATGAATTAATTTGCTAAATATCTGTGATTTACTAAAGTGGCCTTCCATTTTCCCCCTTCTCTTTTTCTATTGGATCCAGATAATCTGCAAAATATTTAAAAAGCAGAAATAAATGATGGCTCCTCAACCAGGACAAGGCATTAGTTCTCAATAAAACAGAAAGCAAAGCTAATAGTGAAGAAAGGGAAGAAAAGTTTGAAGATATCATAGTCAGTTATTTAAAACAAGTGGTTGATCTGATAAACATTTCACAAGTACATTTGTCTTCCTTTTCAGATTCATAGATTGTAATTGTGAATGTTAAGTAGTAATGTTAATATATCAGTTATGTTTTATATATTAGATATTTCTTTTTTATTTATTTTATATAACCAAGTCCATTTAAGTGAAAACAAACATTTATAGACAATATTTGGGAATTTGGGCATTGTTCTTTCCAAACTACTTCCTGCTGGTAAAGCGCGCTGTCATGGGGGATTAGAAGAAGATTCAGAAATCCTGGCTGTAGTCTGTAAGGCTGCTTTGTCCAGCTGTTTTGAATGTAGGATCACCTGGTACTCTGTTTCAGGTGGTCTGGCTTGATCAAACCACATTAGTCTGGAAGGAATCCACATTTTTTCATTTTCTGTGGAAACAAAAATAGAAATCCTTTTCCCCAGTAACTTGTCCTTGAACTTAAAGTTTTGAGTCAGAGCATTTTTTAATTTAATTTATTATTTTACATGTCGATCCCAGATCCCTCTCCCTCCCTCATTCCCTCCCTTTTACCCTCTCTGCCCCCTCACATGCACCCTAACCACCCTCCTCTCCCATCCCCCCACCCCAATTCCATATGTAGGGGAATGCCATCCAGTTGGGGTCATGTAGATCTGACAGGTCATGTGAAGTAGGGACTAGGGCTTCTCTCCTGTGTCTAGATTAAGGCAGTTATCACTCCATGGGGGATGTGTTCGCAAAGTCCTTTTGTGTACCAGGGATACCTATTTCACATGAATTAGGAATATGATAAATATGGGGGAAATGGTCAAGCCAATTAAAGTCCAACTCTTGGGAAATATAAGTCCTTGATGCCTTATCAATAGGGAAAGGTGAAGGAAAGGCAATGGAAGAGGAGAATAAAGGTGTTGGAAGGAGGAAAAGGGAAGGAAGGAAAAAAGGAAGTCAAATATAGTAAACAAAGACAGAGAAAAAGGGACAATATAATACCAAGCATTTTGAATATTTTAATTTTGGGCTCAGATACCTGAGGGCTACTAATTTTTTAGAAGGGATAATCTGTTGACAGGATCCTTTTGGAATAGATTAAGGGAGACAGAAAGTAAAATTCCTGTTAGATGCCCAAATAGTTATACCAAATAAAGCTACAGTTGCGAGCTTCAAGTCTCCTATAACAAGTTACTACCACATGATGGCTTAAAACAGACTAAATTTCTTGTTTCTCAGATTTGGAGGTTAGGATTCTGAAATTAAAATATTGCCGAGATTATTTCTATTTTGAGATTGTGAGGAAGAATCTGTTCCTTGCCTGTTTGTAGCTTCTACAGATGGCTAGCCATTTTTTTTTTTTTTTTTTTTTTTTTTTTTGTGGTGCTTGGACTGAGAATACATCATGTTATTCTCTTCTCCTGGTATTCATGGAAAATGGAAGATTTACCTATGACAAATACTATTGAAAACTACAGAGCCTGAATAGTATTGATTGATGTTAACAGAGTAATAATTGCTACGGACTATTGTTTAAAACCTATCAGCAGCTATGTTGAATGGTATAAGGTTATATAAGTCAGTTCACATTGTGCTATGACGACTTTAAAACAGTGTATATATTTGTGTGTGTGTGTGTGTGTATATATATACATATTTATACATATATACACACATATATACATATAATATATATATAGTGTGTGTGTTTGTGTGTGTGTGCATGCATGCTTGTCTGTATGTATATCACATGCATTCAGGGCTCACAGAGGCCAGAGGAAAGTGTAAGCTCTTTTAGAGATGTAATGTTGGGAGGTTGTGTGTTGCCTAATGTGGGTGCTAAAAACTGAACCTAGATCCTCTGCAGAACCCTGTGCATACTCATTATCACTGATCCTTCTCTCTAGACCTCATGTGTCCTTTTGGTTCTAATGAAATAATACTTGTATTATATCAAAACATGGTGTTGAAAAGAATAATCTGTGAATACAATCTATGTGGTCTTAATTTTGGAGCACCAGTAGTTACTAATTGGGTACATGTTCAAGGTGTTCTATTCCTTGTTCTTTGAGTTTCTTGATCTGTAAAATGAGACCACAGGAGTCCACACTTCACAGGGCCATTGGGAAATTATTTATTTTAATGAAGTGTTACATGAGTGTATAGTAAGTACTTCCTTTATAAAAACATAATTATTTATTATTATTTAAATAAAAACATGAATAAATTTGTCAGACTTGCTCTGAGGAAGTTGCTATGATATATTGTTAGTCCATCTTTCATACCAAAATACTATTGCATAATTCTGATTATCAAGGAGCTCAAGAGTTTGGAAGGTGTTAGGATGTCTTAACTTGAATATGAGAGTAAGGCTTTCTGAGAACAAAACTGAAGCCCAAGTTGCTTTAACAAAGTTTGTATGATTCTAGGCTGACTAATTTTATTCTCTGTACAGGAGAATATGTCGTCATGACAACCCACTTTCATCTGAAGAGAAAAATTGGCTACTTTGTCATCCAAACCTACTTGCCATGTATCATGACTGTCATTCTGTCACAGGTGTCTTTCTGGCTTAATAGAGAATCTGTCCCTGCCCGTACAGTCTTTGGTAAGTTTTGCTTCATGGAGAATTGGGGAGGAGCACTTGTATAGTCCTAGTAGAGGTAAGGAAGGTAGAACTGCTACTGTAGACCAAGATGGTGTCCAAGCCCAGTAGCAGTAATGTATTGTCAGATGCTGAGATTTCAAGCAACCAAATTCTTAACAAAGGAGCAGAAATAAAACTGATGCAGTAGTGAAATTACTCAAATGTTCCTTATCTTATTTTGTCCTGGGAACCAGGAAGAAATTGAGTCTTTAATGAGAAATATACAAATTTATTGCAAAGAGTAGAAAATGTCAAGGGTAGAAAACCAACTTGAAAACAGATAAATAGATTGAGCTATTGAAGGTAACTTATAAGTATTTTGCCTGGTGCCTATGAGGTCAGAAGAAGGTATAAGATCCGTCTAGAACTAGAGTTAGAGACAGCTGTCAGCTACTATGTGGGCGATAGGAGCTCAATCCAAGTCCTCTGTATGAGAAACAAATGTTTTTAACTTCTGAGCCATTTCTCCTACCCCCAGGAATATATATGAATATATATATATATATATATATATATTCATGATTTGTGTATCTGTTCCAGCCTTTTGAGAGAATGAATTTACTGCTATTCAGTAAAGATTGTGTGTACACTTTAGATGGTTTCTCGAACAGTATGTACAATCAGAGAAATTTATTTCAGAATGAGGTTACTTAGATCTAGGAAGAAGTTTTCATATCATGGATTGCCCTCTTTTTCCTCAGAGACTTAAAGTATACAAAACATTTTTTTTGCCTGTTTTTGGCACAGCGAGGTTTTCAGAGGATGAAAATTTATTCTTTCAGGCTATTGAACTACTGGGTAAATAGAGACTGTGAAGCATATAATCAGATATGCTAGATAAGCATAAAGAAGGCTTTTTAGCCAATATCTTGAGGCTATACAGTGTTGTTACATTAATGGAAGATATTTACGAGAGAAGTAGCACATTTGGTCTTTTCCAAGAGTAGACAGCAGCAGCAACAGAGAAAAATTACAAAACAATAAGAAAGTTCCAACATTATAGAAGTCAAGAGGGAAGTGTGTAATGGCAAGAAATAGTCTTGTGGGCTGAAGGTCTACTGTGAATTTTTATAAAACACAGGTAGATTCTATGTGATGGTTAGTGTGGTATACTCAGATGTTACTGAAGTAGAGAAAACAGAAGCTTTATGGATGTGGTTATAAGTGTCCATTATTAGAGGAAAAACTATGATTAGAATATATTATATGAAAAAATATTTTCAACAAAAAGTGGCTATTTAGCTGGGCTACTAGTTTTGGTAAAGAAGCATCTGAATTTTATATAAAAGAAGGTGCTGAGCTTCAACACTGTTAAGGGTTATAATTAAAGCTATGGTATACTGAGTGATACCCTCTAAAAATTCATCTCCTAGTTTCTTGGATATGAAAATATGACTCCAGATGTGATGCAGTTGAAAATTTCTAGCTGGAGATATTATTCTGCACTGTCAAATATTTAACTACAGAAGAATAAGTGTTGTGGTAAAGGAAGCAAGCCAAATTGGAAGATATTCTGTTATTGTCTTATAGGAAGAGAGAAAAGCTCACTAGCCAAGAAATGCAATTGATGTAGCATTAAAAGCTACAAAAGACAATAGATTATTATTATTACACCAGATCCTTCAAAGGAAGTGGGACCCTGGTCAAGATTGACCTTAACTCAGTAGAACTAATTCCAGGCTTATTGTACCTAGATCTGTAATTTCAGTTTGTGGTATGTTAAGCCACTATATATGTGATAACTTGTTACATCAACCATAAAAAAATTAAGACAAAACACCATTCCCATAAATCTAATGTTATTGAATGGTTGTAACCTCAATGTAAGAGAACATTAAAAAATTACACATGGAATAGAAGGATAATGTGAAAACATTTCTATTGTGGCCTAAGCTATGTGTAAAATACAGGTTTCTTTGAGAATTTATTCTTTTTATAGTGGCCTCATACTAATTTAGAATTCTTATTTACAGTAACTGCATTGACCAAATAACCTCCAAGTTTAAATGTTAATTTAAAAATTAAAGACAAGGAGCCAAAAATAGCCAATATTCTTTTGAATAGGAACAGAGTGAAGAGCCATGCCCCATAAAGTGTCAAGATGATTAAAAGGCAATAGTCATTAAGTAAGCATTGTATTGGCATAAAGAAAATAAATAAATAAATAAATTAAACACTACAGTGAACTTGAAAGTATCTTCTTATATATGGAAACTTGATTTATCACAAAGATGGCATTGGGGAGAATTTATTAAAAATTATTCATGGATTTCAAAACAAAAATTAAAAATATGATGCTCTTGAAATAAACCACAAAAATGATACAATGTTTGTGTATCTTGTGGAATATGTATTCTAGCTGTATAAGAGTTGGTCAAACATTTTTCAAAGTGGTTGTATCATTTAATATAACTCCCCTAATCTGGATGTTCTTCTTTTACACATATAACCAACTGAAAGGAATTATGTAATAAAATGCATTAAATAAAAACACTTCCAAAAGAATGCCCATATATTTCAATCACAAAAAAATGCTTCAATGACTAGCCATATATTGATTCAACTGTATACATTTCTCAAAAGAGCTCAAATGTGAAAGATATTTTTATTTTATTGTAAATGAATTGTACCACAGTTTGAAAATACAGACCCGTAGGACTATAGATATTGGAATAATCAAACAAATTTTCAAATAACCATGATGAATATTTATAAATAAATTAATGCAATGAGGAAAAATGCAGGAGAAAGAATGGAGGCAGGGTCATCTTGGTTATCATAGAACTTGAAAATACAAATTAATATTTATTTATTGAAGCATAGTTAATTTACCCCCTGAACTGAAGGACAGATCAAAAGAAAATACCTTTGGAGACAAAAATATGAAATACTCACAGAGAAATGGCATGAGATTCACTGAGAAGTTCTAACACAGTAGAATGGTGGAAGTGAAAGAATGGTTGAGACAATTTTGAAGAGACAATAGACTAAAACTGGCCCTATATAAAGAAGGATATAAAGTTATAATTAGAAGGAAATCTACAATCCCCAGCTAGATGAGTTGAAAGAATGAAAATTTGTGATTGTTATCATTAGTCTTTCCCTGAATGAATTACTGATGGCCACCAATGCCCAGTAGTGGTGCATTCTTTTCATCCCAGCACTCAAGATGCAAAGATGTGTGGATCTCTACATTCAAGCCACCCTGGTCTGCAGAGAGAGTTCACTGGACATCCAGGGCTACACAGAGAAACCCTGTCTTGGAAAAGGAAGAAAAGAAGGAAGGGAGGGAGGGAGGGAGAAAGGAAGGGAGGAAAACAATACTGATGGCTGTTCAATAAATGAAGGAAGATTATACTAGAATGAAGGTTGAAATTATTAATAAAAATAATAAATAAATGAGTCATGGTGGCTATTTATTGAGTTACAAATAACAGCAATGATTTATAAAGAAAATACTGTAGTCAAATATAATCTATGTAAGTTGATATGGAAAATAAAAATACTGTATATATTTTCATTGATAAAGAACATATCAATTAGCACTAAATTTTCATTAATCAAGGATACATATTGACTGAAAATCATCTATATCTTCAGGGACTGTTAAATGTACAATTACTTTAATAAACTTGACAATATCATATAAATTTAAACATTCATATTGTATAATCTTCCAGTTCCATTCCCTAGGTTTTTAGGAAGGTAAATGAATGAATACTTACATAAATACTTAATGCAATTTGTTTAGACACTTTATGTGTTAAATATTTGAAACTTTTACATGACCATTAATAAGTGAATAGATGAACAAATTACATTACATTAAAACTGTGGACTCACTCTGAAATCAAGAAAAGTACTCTAAAGATGAAACACAAATAAACCCAAACTATTACATTAAGGAAATGTATCCAGACACACATGATCACATACTGTATGATAATGACACGAAACTGCGTGTGTGGCTGAGAGCACGGAGAGGGTGTTAGGGACATAAACCAGTCTATGAGAAGGAGTCATGACAGTTCCCTCATCATGCAGTATGGTGAAACAGACACATCTTAACAAGTCAGTGTATTAGAAGTAGTCATATGAAATGAGGAGGTCAGTCAGTTCTACCTTAGTCCTTGAAGAACATCTTTCTGGAAGTGTCTTAAAAGAGAATCACTGTCAGGCTGCCCCCCACCCTTTTTCAAAGCTGAGGTACTCTGTGGAGTGTACAGAATGCTTAATTGAGAGCCCTTGCAATTGAGAGCTCTCTCTCTCTGTATGGTGACAGGTCTAATTAAGTCTCAAAGGTTAAGCTCCAAAACTCTCCATTGAGATAAGGCACAGATCATTTATGGTACAGTACAATTGCTGTAGATGTGCTCAGGAGGACCATACATTTGTTCATAGCCACACACGAAGTAGCTTATGTCTCTCATAAGGCTCTAGTTCCTTCTTCTCAATTTACTTTTTCTGAAAACTTCATATATGAATACTAAGTCTGTATCACTCATACACTCCTTCATATATGAGTACTAAGTCTGTATCACTCATACACTCCTTCATATATGAGTACTAAGTCTGTAGCACTCATACACTCCTTCATATATGAGTACTAAGTCTGTATCACTCATACACTCCTTCATATATGAGTACTAAGTCTGTATCACTCATACACTCCTTCATATATGAGTACTAAGTCTGTATCACTCATACACTCCTTCATATATGAGTACTAAGTCTGTATCACTCATACACTCCTTCATATATGAGTACTAAGTCTGTATCACTCATACACTCCTTCATATATGAGTACTAAGTCTGTATCACTCATACACTCCTTCATATATGAGTACTAAGTCTGTATCACTCATACACTCCTTCATATATGAGTACTAAGTCTGTATCACTCATACACTCCTTCATATATGAGTACTAAGTCTGTATCACTCATACACTCCTTCATATATGAGTACTAAGTCTGTATCACTCATACACTCCTTCATATATGAGTACTAAGTCTGTATCACTCATACACTCCTTCATATATGAGTACTAAGTCTGTATCACTCATACACTCCTTCATATATGAGTACTAAGTCTGTATCACTCATACACTCCTTCATATATGAGTACTAAGTCTGTATCACTCATACACTCCTTCATATATGAGTACTAAGTCTGTATCACTCATACACTCCTTCATATATGAGTACTAAGTCTGTATCACTCATACACTCCTTCATATGTGAGTACTAAGTCTGTATCACTCATACACTCCTTCATATATGAGTACTAAGTCTGTATCACTCATACACTCCTTCATATATGAGTACTAAGTCTGTATCACTCATACACTCCTTCATATATGAGTACTAAGTCTGTATCACTCATACACTCCTTCATATATGAATACTAAGTCTGTATCACTCATACACTCCTTCATATATGAGTACTAAGTCTGTATCACTCATACACTCCTTCATATATGAGTACTAAGTCTGTATCACTCATACACTCCTTCATATATGAGTACTAAGTCTGTATCACTCATACACTCCTTCATATATGAGTACTAAGTCTGTATCACTCATACACTCCTTCATATATGAGTACTAAGTCTGTATCACTCATACACTCCTTCATATATGAGTACTAAGTCTGTATCACTCATACACTCCTTCATATATGAGTACTAAGTCTGTATCACTCATACACTCCTTTCTTGAGATATTGGAGATGGTGAAGTTTGGGTCTAGTATCAGGATTTTTTGTTTGTTTGTTTGTTTATATGTACTAACACTGTAGCTGATCCTCACATTGTATAATCTGTGTTTTGCTACTCGGCTCTGATGCTAAGTTTCTGCAAATGTGCACTTTTGCTGTCTTTGTTGCAAATTCTTCTCCAGTCTAGATTTTCACATATACAGCAAATGTGTAAGTAAGGAATTCAAAGAAGCAAGACAGGAGAATTAGCACCAAGGATGGTCACTCACAAGGTTTACTCTCTCAATAGAGCTAGTAGAGCCAGTGTTTCCTCTTGTTGCCTTATTCTGTAGCATCTCACCCATGAGCATTTCATTTTGTGCCCCACTTGACCCATTATTTTTCATTCTCTTCAGTTTTACAACAATCAGAGAGAGAGAGATTATGATCATTTCTCCTTTAAATATGATTGAGTTTGGGAATATGAAAGTGCTAGGTTATCTGATACTCACAAATGGTGAGAAAGAAGGCACAGAGAGATCAAAGGGCTTTACCAAGCTTCAACATGAGTAAGTGGCAGCCAAAAGAGTTCCAGTTCTGCAAAAACTCTCAAGATACAGCTTTTGGAATAGTTTGGATTGTTCAAAAGTCTCAGTTGAGACCTCGAACTTGATACAGTTAAAGAAACACTTTCCATAGTAGTTTGTTGCCTTATCAGAAGAAATCACAAAAAATAGAGAGAGAGAGAGAGAGAGAGAGAGAGAGAGAGAGAGAGAGAGAGAGAGAGAGAGAGAGAAACCAGACTGAACTCAGACCTATGCTTTGAATCACGGCCTCAGTTTCAGACTTATTGAAAGAAAACTACCAGAACTGAGAGGAAGGTGGCAAAAGAAGAACATGAGGTAAGCACTGATCTCCAATGCTCTGGAGATAAGAAGACCCTTCTTATCCTGGAGATGAGGCAGTGCCTTTTCCCTTCTTGTTAGGTTACAGAAAGAACCATCATTAGAGGAAGCAGAGTTAGCTCATAAGTAAGTCTTTCTAATTTGGAAGTTCTCTTACAACAAAACGGGCTACCCATTCTTCAGCAGAAATACTTAGTCAGAGGTTAGGGGACAACAATAGAGTAATTTTTATGGCAGTTCCAATAAAGTGGTTCCTAGGCTGATATGTCTGTTTGTCTCTTTGTCTATAATTTACTTTAAGACAGGGCAGTACTTGAAGCAAAGGGTAAGTACAGTTTATTATCAAAAAGTAAATCAGGCTACTCCACAAACAACACAAGTTAAGAGGCCTTACTGAATAAGATGTAGTACTTCCTTTCAGGTAGGAGGTTTGTAATCCTATCAAGTACACAGCCAGGGTCTTCCAGTTGTAAATGGCTCTTGACTTTTCTCTCCTCAGGTGTCACCACTGTTCTCACTATGACCACCTTAAGTATCAGTGCCAGAAACTCCTTACCTAAAGTGGCATACGCGACGGCCATGGACTGGTTCATAGCCGTCTGTTATGCCTTTGTATTTTCTGCACTGATTGAATTTGCCACTGTCAACTACTTCACTAAACGAAGTTGGGCTTGGGAAGGCAAGAAGGTACCAGAAGCTCTGGAGATGAAGGTGAGTTCAATAAAGGAAGGGCTGGGAAGTACTTCCAGAGAGATCTGTATTGGGACCAGAAGTGAACAGCCTGTAGCTTGCAGGAACTGAGCAGGGCTATGTGTTATTCACTGGGGTCATCAATCCAATTCTCAACTGGGGTGCTTCTTGGCAACATGGGGTTCAACTAATAACAATGAAAAGAAGGCTAATAGCATGTAGGGTTTATATCTTGTGGTGTTGAGGCAAATATAAATGTGATTCTGCTAGATTCTGGGGACATTGGTACTTAGAAAACTACCCAAAAGCTTGGAGTCTTATCCACATCTGAAGCACAGTCTCCAACACCATTTCTACCCCTCACTCTCTGGAACATTCGCATTGCAGTCAAAATGAAGTGCTCATCATTCTTTCCAAGTCTTTGTCTATTTTTTTTTATTCTCTATCTGAAGTATTCTTCTTTTTTCCCTGGTAAATATGTACTCATTCTACCAAATCCAACTAAAACATTACTATCTCTGTAGAGCCTGTTAGGAACCATGGAGACATATTTGGCTTTGTGGGTGTGAGTACTCTGATATTAAAATAATTTAGTTGCATTAAAGGTACTCATTTGCCCCCTTAACATATTATGAACATCATGGCTATTGGGCCCTTACCTTCATCTTGGCACGGCATCTGAATAAGAATGAAAGCTGAAGAAATGTTGGCTAAGTGGGTAGATAAAGAGACAAGATAAACTCACTGGATTGATAGGAATTAATCATGAATGTGATCAATAGTTTTTAAACCCTTCAAGACCATTTTTTTTGTTTTAATAGAAAAACTTCACCTTTATTAATATGTTGCTAAAAGTTTTGACTACATATCAGTGAGTTTGTAAAAAGAAAAAGGAAACATATAACATATACTCAAGACAATTTAGAATTTTAATGACCATTTTAAATATTCAAATTGAACAGATCATTCCAGAAAGTCAGGGGACAGGGTGCTTCAAATTCAGAGGTTCCTTTGTCAGGATCTTAACCGCATTCCTAAATGATAACAATAAAACTTTAATTCTGAAATTTAGCTCAACAGCTTTTTATCAGAGAATTATATGTGGTTTCCTGGGAAACAGTTTCTCAATTTTGATTGTATTGACATTATTTGGAGAACAGGGCTGATGGCAAGCAAATAGGTCTTCACCCGCTCTTGTGACTAAAGACCTCTCTGACTTAGCCTTTGCAGTAGTTGGACACTCAACATTTATGATTGGATCTCCTAGAGTTAGTAGGAGAAGAAACTAGTCTCCTGTCATTTTAGATAATTCCTAGTGAAGGCTCACTATATTCTAGGAGGTTTAGTAGTAGCACTTTAGGAAGGAAAATAAGGATTTAAGCCATGAGCATGAGCTTCAGAAGCCGATGTTTCACAATTAATGTGTGATGCATGGAGTTTCTGGAGCCACCAGAGGCAGGGTTGTGTCTGCTGGAGCAGAAGGGAATATGCAGAGGGAAGCAGTTGTGTTCGGGTTGACTGTGCTCAGATTTGATTTGGGAGTGGCTACTTCCAGTCTAGCACTGGCATTTCCCGGTTGAACAGTTGTATCTGGAGATGTTTGTCCTTCGACAATCACTGGGATGGCCTCAGATACAGTGATGCTCTCTGTAGTAACTTTAAGTTCTGCATTGATTACCAGTTCAATGCAAGACCGATTTTTATAGCAAAATATTCTTAGATGTGTAGTCTTCTTCAAAATAGGAAAGGAAGGAACATTTTCAAATTCCTTTTATGAAGTCACTATTATCCTGATACCAAAACCAAATATCCAACCAAAAAGAAAAAAAAAAAAAGGAAAAAATTATGAACCAACATCTCTGGTGAATATGGATACAAGAAAAAAACCTCAGTAAAATACTTATATGTAGATGGACTTTCTTTGGACTGCCAGCTCCCAAATAATGGTACAGACTTCTTATTAAGCATGAAAGCTTGGTTAGGCAAGGCTTGTTCTCAAGTAGCTGTAATTTATAAAGTAATCTATGTTCTGCCTTGTGGCTCATTACTTCTCAGTACTGCTGGTGAATCCTCTATCTCTCAGCTTATTCCCCTGATATCCTCTCTCTCTCCAGAAGTTCAATCTATCTTCTCTTGCCTATCTATTGTCCATTTAGCTCTTTATTAAACCAATAAGAAGTTGCCTTAGACAAGTGAGGTAAAACAGACACACATCTTCACGGTATACAAAAGATTATTCTACAAAATTTCCCCCTTTTGTCTAAATAAAAAGGAAATGTTTTAACTGTAATATAGTAAAGCTAAATACAGTGGTAAAGCTTATTGAGTAAGAATTATATTCAGAATGTCCAGTCCATTTGTATTTCGAGACTTAGGAGAAAATACTCTATTATCTATCCTATCTTGGTGAGTCCAAAGTTTTATACCTAACCTACTTTCTATCATACATTCTATTACCAACCTAAAAACACATTTAAGACCATCAAATATTTTCTTACATAAAGAACATAAACTTTTCACCATCTCAACCTTTACGACTTTACATGTCTTTTATGAAATTCTTTTCTGAATTTGGTAACAAAGAGAACTGTAAAACTATATTTAGTCATCAATCCCATTAGAGACTTGAGGCTAGATATTGCCTGAGTAAACAGAATGTATAGAGAAAGCAACTTCCAAAACTACAGAAATGACAAAGACACCTGGTTGCCTGGACAGTCACCCAAGATTTCTCTGCAACATTGGAACATCCAACTTCAGCCTACAGAATATCTGACAGAATTATCCATGAAGCAAGAATTTGGAAGTACTGGCCTACATTGTCTTTGCAATGTTCAGCAGCCAACTTCCTTTGTGTCCTTATTGTCCTATTTGGATGACATACTGTTATCAGCCAAGGCAAAGGCAGTGGCTAGATTTGCCACACTTGAAGCAAACTCCATATGGAGGTTATTTGATGTCCATCATATTTCTTGAAGTAGATTGGTGCTGTCAGAAGCAGACATGTCTCAGTGTTATGTTATTAGAACATTTTAAATGCCACACTCTGTAGATTTTTGGAGTGTTTGGAGACCATGTATCTATCTAAAATACATAAGGATAAATAAAGTTTATTTCTGTCTATATCTAAACTCTTACTTCAAGTTTGATTGTTTCTTACGTATCCTAAACAGTGTGTAATAGTAGCTTTTGAGGACTAGATCTTTATAATTTTAAATGAGTTTCATAATTATAATACTTACAGTATAACAAAAATAACCTTAAATTTTTATCAATATACAAAAATCCATACCAATTTAAAATACTTGAGACTAATAGCTGCTTTATATTTTAAAATAGATTCAATAATCTGGCCTTTTATCCTATTGTTCCTATATCCTCCCCCCTTTTTCACTAGGAGAGAAAGGATAGGGGAAAGAAAAAGAAAGGAGGAAATTCCTTAATCTAACCTCCTCTGTTTAGCTTCCTTCCTAATAATGACCAATAACAGCTTGCAAATAACCCCCTAAACAGTGACAAACATCCTTAACCAGCTGAATGACAAAAAAACAAAACAAAACAAAACAAAAAATCCACTCTGCCTCTTGGGAATATGGACATCATGTTCCTAAAATTACTCCCTGTTGTCCTGGGGTTGATAGCATCTTTAGGGGTCCCTGAAAATTGGGATAATGGTCAAGTTCTAGCAGAGTTAGCTGCATCATTTGTTGTCCAGTCTCTGTGTGATGGGAAAGCGTAGGGTTTATCTAAAGTCCTGGCTAAATTAATCTGTGAGGTTGAACCATCTCAGCTAGCAAATGTAATTAGACTTTCTTTAGACTACCAGCTCCCAAATAATGATAATGACTTATTAAGTATGAAAGCTTGGCCTTAACTTAGGCTTGTTCCCAACTAGCTTTTAAAACTTAAATTAACCTGTTTATATTATTCTATGTTCTGCCATGTGACCCATGTGTCCTCCGGACCATTCATCCCACTTCCTCTGCATCTCACTAGAGAATCCCTTGCCTCTGTTTTTTTTTTTTTTTTCTTCCAGAATTGCTTTCTCCAGAAGTCCCACTTATCCTCTCCTGCCTATCTATTGGCCATTTAACCCTTCATTAAACGAATCAAAAGGTGCCTTAAACAGGTGGGACAAAACAAAGGCACATCTTCACAGTATATAAAAGGATTATCCCACAACACTTACATTCATAATTTAAATAATTTCAAAATGATTAACTATTGTATTCAGGTAGGCTTCATCCCAGTGATGTACAGATGATTCAATGTGTGAAAATCAGTAATATAATCTACTGCTTAAATAAACTAAATGACTGAAACAATATGATACATCATTCGATTCAGAAAAGGCATTTGACAAAAATCCAACATCTTCCATGATATTCCATATTCCTATATTCCTATATTCCATGACTAGGAATATAGGAGACACATCTCAACATAGTATAGACAATATACAGGAAGACCCCATCCAACATCATCACAATGGGAGAAAACATCAAATAATTTCCACTAAAACAAGAATGTCCACTTTCCTTACTCCTGTTCAACATAATATGTGGCTTTAGAGTAATAAAACAAGTGAAACAGATGAAAGAAAAAAATAAATGCAAATTGGAAATTCAGAGTATCTTTACTTGCAGATGATAATGTATTATGTATAAAAGTCCCCGAATACTCTACCAGGAAACTCCTTCTGCTGATAAAAAAAAATTAGCAAAATAGGTGTATACTATATTAACAGACATTTTCTTTAAAGGTCTTTAATGGGCAAGGATAGTGTTGACATCACAGATTTGTTCTGTTCCTAGAAGTATATACCATAGATATTTATGTTTTCTTCTATATTTACCATTTCTTCTCTAATAATATTTAACTATTTATTATTTTAACTTAATTACCATTTTATCAAACCTAGTTTCTGTGTCTTGCATCATTTTCAACAATTGCTACTCACCTTCATTTTTATAATATCTTCCTCAATTACACATCTTACCTTTGTAGACAGGGTCTCTCAT